AGAATAATGATCATGTGCTTTGGAAAGACAAAGGATTTGTAAAGAGTACATAAGATTTTCTTTTGGTGGGGAAGTACGGGTAAATTTAACGTCAATGAGGAAATTATGTTGAAGACAAGGTGTATTTAAGTTTTATTTGAGTTTTCCTTTACACGAACAAATTTTCTTTTTCGTGAAAATAGAATAAATTCATATAAATCAGACCAAAACAAACAAACAAAAAGGTAAACTAACGTCAGCATAAAATTACAAAAAATAAAAAGTGGGGATGCAAAGTGATCTTCAAAACTATTTAATTAATTTCGTGTAGACTTTCCCAAAGAGTGAATAGTTTTGCGAAATTTTGAAAACCAACAATTTGAAGAGACGCGTGGGTGTAGAAGAGTTTTTTGAAAGAGGAAAATTTTATTACGGATTGAAGACAATGCACCACCATTTTGATTAAAACATTTAGTTTTTAAAACGTTAGACAGATGATTTTTTTCTCGAATGTCTGTCACTTCGAAAATATTAACAAACGTATTAAATATTTTTGTGAGCACAAATACATTTACTGATGCTCTTATGAAGTTCCTCGATATCTTTAAATTTTTCTTGTGTAACTCAATCAGGAAACCTTCAGAAAACTCCCTTTAACAATGAATTAATACCGATAATCATACGAACATAGAATTCAACTTGAAATTTTCTCATTTATTAGAAACTCTCAAACAAAATTTCGTCAAAAACAGTAAGCAACAGAGAAGGTTTTTTTTACTTTCTCGCTACTGCTTTCACATAGAGAAGGAATTGAAACGGAATTGTAATGCTGGAGAAAAATTGAAACGGATAATTTTTTGGGAGGGGTACGTTACGTACATAGAACCATAACATTTTAAAATTTTTCTCAAAAAAATGTCGACGTTTTTCTTTAAAACTTCCCTAACCGAGCAACATGAGCATAGAAATAAGAGTAGGTCGTACTTGCGTTGCACTACATGAATTTTTGAAAATTGCAACAATTCAATTCTTTTGGCGTCTTCCTATAACTACAATTAAGGTATTTTTTCCTTAATGTGGTGTTCAGCAAAATAAGGTCATGTTCAATTTTTTAAACGTATGGGTATTTTTGCGTACTTTTGCATGAATCAGGGAATTTTTAATTTTTAAACAATTTTTTTCTCAAAAACGACTCCAATTTTTTGCCATGTAAGCAAGGAATGGTAAAGAATGTAATGCTGGTCCCATTTTCGTGCACTCTCTGCATTGTCGAATGTTAGTTAAAGAATAGAAATAGTAGGTTATTTTTGAGCCGTTTCATCTGAGGGACGTTTCGTTTGTTGCCGGTCGTGATGATCGTATGTAGTAGGTAGCATTCTTATAAAATAAAATAGATTTAAAGTAAATAATAGTTTTAAATTAGAACCAACAGAAAAACTTCTTTTACTTTACGAAGTTTTGATCGCTAATTTTGGTATTCAAAAAGTGGAAGCTCACTTTCATGTTATCAGGCAAGCTTGTGTGGAATTATCTTGCTTTTCTGTGTAATGTGTTTCAAAAACTGTAACAGTTAAATTTATTCATTTTGTTTCATTCATAAACGTTGAAAGTGACTACTGTTCCTGGCCATCGAAATAAACGTACTTTGTTTGAATTGGATTTTTCAAGGTACAGCTGAGTTGTTAGCAGGGCAGGAATGGCAATCCCTATACAGTATTTGACTAAAACTCGGGAGTGTGCTTATGTGTGCAGTTCAGTCACTCGCGGCAAGAAACGTCTCCTGCACCAATCGAGACGTATGAGGTGGCATTTGTCGACTCGTCTCAGTAACCTGATAATGTGTTTTCGCATACGACTAAAATATTCAAAGAAAATTTTTAAAAATGTGGTTTTTCAGGTTTTTAGGCACTGCATTCTTAATGATAATGCGTGGAACTAAATTGATCTATGTAGGTGGCATTGATTAACCACCAGTACCCAAACATAAAATTTTCTTTCACGACGCTGGAAAATTTGAAGCTGACATCTTTAATTGGGTTGATTTACCAAATAAATCGCAGCAGATTGATTTCAATTTACATGGGAATTAACGTATTTTTAAAAATACATTTTCGAAAACCTACAAACAGTATTGCCTCGGAAGTTATTAAACTTGAGTTTCAAGTGAATACGGAAAAAAAAACTGAGTCATGCTATAGAATGAACGTTATATTCGACGTCTCATTTTAACGTTCTTACATAAGTGTGCAAATGCCGATTTTTAAATGTGACCCACAACGTATGTTTATTAAAGTTAACTAACACCTTATTCACATAAACATACAAAACAGTCGCCCTTTAATGTTTATATAGATTCGCATATAAAACGACTAATAGAGCAATTGCAAAAGTAGAAGTGGACACAAATTAGACTGAGTTTGTGAAGATTCAATCTCTCCAAAAAAATAGGGAAGAAAATATGAGTGTAAAGGAAATACGCGGAAGAATCAAATATAGTTATAAAAGATGTTGCGACAGAATTTTCGGAACTAATTGGGAATGATCTACATTCTTATACTTAGCATTCGTGCTAATGAAAATGTACTACATGAATTCTTGTGCACATTAGCAAAATAGCGAAAATAATGTGGAAAATGTAAAATAAAACTATTAGCACAATCAAAACATACAAGTAATTGTTACGACGATAATAAATTTGAAATTTCAACATGACCAGTTCATATCTCGTATGGAGGTACACAAGATAAAAGGGCCATGGGTGTTGGGAACTTCAACGGGTGTACACAGTCCGTCCCACAGAAAAGGTGACTGATGTGAAATAAAATACAAGACGTTGGTTGTTCGTAATGTACATGCTTCTTTATTCAAAATAGTCTCCTTGTGAGTCAATACACAACCGGAAGCATTGGAAAAATTGTTCAAAACAATTCTGATAGTCAACAATTGGAATTGCCTGCAAGATCGTTGTAGCCTTCTGGATATCGGAAATCGTGTGGAAACGCCGTCCTTTCATGGCCGTTTTCAGTTTAGGAAAAAACCAGACCTCGCACGGAGCTAAATCCGGCGAATAAGGAGGATAGTCAAGCGCAACAATACCTCTTTCAGCCAAGAATTGGCGAACGATCTTTCTTTTGTGCGCTGGAGCAACAAACACCAAGTTCCTTGGTTGCGGTATTCAGGCCTCACCCCAACAATCCTCGACCATAAACGAGTTAGAACACCCAAGAAGTAATGTGCGTTCACCATTTGACCTTCTGGAGCAAGTTCTTTATGGATAATTCCTTTGGAATCAAAGAAAACTGTGAGCAATGTCTTGACATGACTTTTCTGCATTCGCACTTTTTTCGGTTTCGGAGATTCTGGACACTTCCATTCCGAGCTCTGGCGCTTTGTAAGTGGCTCATATTGAAAACACCATGTTTAATCACCGGTTACGATGCATGACAGGAAGTCTGCGTCCTCATCGGCCGATCGTTTCACTCTGCAATGCTTTTGATCGTCCGTGAGTGACTGGGGTACAAAGTGACAGCAGATCATCTTTTTGCCCAGATTTTCAGTCAATATGCAATGCACAGTTGTTTTAGGAATTCCAGTGAGCTCCTCTATTAACCTGGTAGATGCACAACGATCATTTCGAAGAATTTCAGCCACTT